AAGTAAGGATAAGAATTTATGGATGAATAAATTGTAATAAATTGTAATAAAGAAGTTGTTCATCCATAAATTCTTATTCTTACTATGTATATAATGTGTTATTGTGTCTCACTCACCTAAAAGCTGGGTGTTACTTTTTAATATGCCAAAGAACATGTATATATATCTTTTGTGACACGTTAATAAAATAACTCTATCCCTTATCCTTACTTTGTACTCCAACTTCTAAATGCCTCTCGAAGAAGTTAAAGAGTGCACAGGTTCCAAGTGTTGTTAAAAGAATTATCACAATCCTTTTGCAGACAAAACACCAATAACTCATCACTAAATAGTTTCAATCAAATTAGGGGAGCAAATTTCATCTAATTATAAAGTAGTGAACAAATTTAACAAGAGTGAACACTTGTGAGAGCATTTCACTTATCACCGCAGTGCCCACTGTACAGGTGAGAACACTTTAGCTGATACGGTCCCCCACTTAATCCCTAATCCCCCCATTGTCTTCCCCATATTGTTTTAGGACCAAAGTGGTCACAGTGGGGGGACACCTTGCAGACAGTCAGTGTTTTGATTGTACTTCAAAGATCTGTTGGCAGGTTACCAAGAACAAAGACTGTGTCATTCACCGTTGACAACTTGTGAAAACAAATTGACCGCATTTGGCTTAAAAAAAAGCGTGAAAATGGACTGGTAAACAAGCGAAGCGCTTATGTTAATACCGCTCCATTACACATAGGAATATTACAATGAATACATAAATGAAGGTTGATTTTGAATGTGAAAGTGAATTAACCGAGAAACAATATAGCGTTAATTTACATTGTTTATTCTATTATGTTCATTCAGCAAGGTTGCGTAAGCCATCGGCCCATGTCACAGCAGTTGTACAGCAGCCATTATTGTAAGTTTTGTCCTTGATTGCATAGACTTATAGAAATAGAATTGGGAAGATTCACCCGCCCGAAAACACCGCTTATTGAACGTATGTGTAAATTCTGTAATTGCAATGCTGTTGAGGATGAAATACACTTTTTTGCTGAATGTTCTCTCTATACAGATTTACGCTATGATTTATGGAATTTAGCTTCTCAATCAAATCCAAACTTTATACAGATGTCCGCTGCCGATCAGACCGTGTTCTTTATGCGGAACAATAAGGTGGTCAGACCCCTAGTCGCGCTTCTTCACCACATGTATGAGCGAAGACAACTGTGTCTTTCGTCTCTACCAGCCTAGTTCCATGTATCTTAGTATCAGAATGTTCTGATAACTTGTGATAACCGGTGATAACTGGTGAAAACTCATTTTTATGTATATGTATGTACTGTGATATTTCTCATTTTTACTCATATGTATGTGACGTCCTGCGTGTCTCGTAGGCCATAATGGCCGGACACTGTACACACTATTTGTGTATTTTTATTGTCACTGCTGTACAGTGTGTGACACGAAAATATAATAATTTTCTTCTTCTTCTTCTTATAATTGTACATTATCACTTGACATCAAGACATTGAATTAACTGTAATGTGGGAAATACATTATAGAACTTTCTTGGAATTTACTGTTCACACAATTCGTCATACACCGTGCATACAAACAAGAAATGATACTCATCCTCAACGAAATCTTTTTTTTACAAAATATATGCATGCCTGGACATAAACGCCTTCAATACCTCTGCTAAGCTTAAAATCTGAGGAGTCAATTTCTAGTCCCCATATTACAGCGCCATTCAATAAAATTGACATCACTTTACTATCTAAAACTTTGAAGACAACACCATACGGCAAGGGTCTAAGTTTTCTAAGTTAATATATAACGTCACATAGGCAATATTGCAGCCATATCGTGACGAGACAAAATTTAACTTATTATAACTTATATAATAATATATATGTAAACTGTATAAAATTCTGTCGACGAAGGACAATAAAACAACTAGATTATCACAGATATATGTTTAAAACTAGTACATAACCATAAAATATGACAATTCATAACATTACAATAGATAAAATTGGGCTATATATCACCAGCAACTAAAGTGAGGTCACCATACTGGGGACCATGGGGACTTACAGTACTTTTGCTACCTGCATGGACCGTAGTAGTAGTAGTAGTACTAGTAGTAGTAGTAGTAGTAATAGTAGTTTCTACATTTCTTTCTGCCGGTATCCTTACGATCTTACTGGAAAGGGTATCGTATCAAATTTCATCGTTTTGTTCACATCCTAGTTTCAGGTCAAACAGACGGAAACAATACATCCGGTGTCAGAGAGTGGGATTTCCCCCCTAGCCTAAATTCCTCCCGGAAAAAAGGGCTATATAGCTAAATTTCCCCCTGGGAAAAATGACTACATAGCCATATTTCCGCTTTAGAGTCAGATTTCCCCCCTTAACACAAGGGGGAAGTATGGCTATATAGCAGAATTTCCCCTATATCCCTCAGATTTTTCAATGCATTATTAAAAAACATAACCTACTGCACCGTTTAACAAACACTGATCAAACAGCAATGGCAAAGCGAACTTCTTGCATGCCATATTTGACAGAGAAATTGGAGTTAAACGTGTCTCAATTGAAACCAAGCTTTTAGGAATCCTGTATAACAAGTTTAGTGTTGAAAACATAGAGGATTCCGACTTGCCACTTGTTATTCATGCCAGAGAACTTATTTGTGAACTGTTGCTGGATACTAGTAAATACTTCACGTCAGTGATTTTCAACAATGCAGTGTTTAAGGGTGTGTTGGAATCAACACTTTAGAATTTCTGGACAAAGTTTTGTCCTGTGTTTCTGGCGCAATAGACCAGCTTGAACTCCAACTCCATTAGTATTCAGTAGAATGAATAAAATTCTTTTTACATAGTTATTATGTTCACCAATGTTATGGTTTTAATGGTGCTGAAAATTTCACTGTCGCCTTTATCATGCTGAAGAGCAAGAGTTCCCAGGTTCGAACCCCGTTAGTGTTATTTAGAATAAAGCTTTATTACCCCGAGGGGAATTTGGATTATATTTGAAGTGAAAAGAGTATACATACACTCATTACGAACAATACAATTACAGACCAACACATATCTACACTCATACATAGCACTCCATGCAAACTTACATAACACTCCATGCATACAAACATACACACAGAACATACATGCATAACATAAAGCAACAAAATATGCACTATTAAAGAAGATAAAATATGAATTAACACTAGCACATAAGAATTAAACAATGATTAAGAGACAGGTTGACTTGGTTCATCATTTAAAAATAAAATACTAACGGGAACAAATGAATATTTGGCTCTATTTGATTTAAAACAAGGTACACGATATCTTCTTCCAGATGGTAAAACGTCATAACAAGGGTATAAAAAGTGATTTGGTTGGTCTAAAATTCTATTTGCCATCTGTAAAACACGTTGATTGTAAAGAGAGTCCAGACTGTTGAATTTGCATCCTGAGATTTTGCTAGCCGCTGTAGTTATTTTAGTTATTTAACCTAAGGGCTGACATTAGTACAGGTCCTAAAAGTGTTGTCGCACGCATAGCCTGCAGCCTCAAATACACAACAAAATAAAAATTAAAAAACAACACATACCCTACTAAATAAATATATAATAATATATAACCCATATCTCACTGTCGAAATGAACCATCCTCTATTTAAAACACAAGATTTTAATCATGGTTTCTCTTGTAAATTACTCCATCAGCCAACTGTACATCTAGGTACTTTTGATAATAGACATATATTTAATTATGGGGGAAATCTGACTCCAAAGCGGAAAATTGGCTTTATAGTGTATTTTCCGGGTGGGAAATATCTCTATATAGTGTGCTTTCCGTGGGAAGTATGGCTATATAGCCAGTTTTCCGGTGGAAATTTGGCTATATAGCCCCTTTTCCGGTGGAAATTTGGCTATATAGCCCTTTTTCCGGGGGGAAATTAGGCTAGGGGGGGAACTCCACTCTCTGACACCGGCAGTCACTCACACAGCTCACAGATACCCGTGTCTCGGGCGTATCCCATCTCTGGATAGAAACAGTGTTTAACCAAGAAGGCGTGTACATATGGCCTGTAACACTATGCTGTAGAGATCACGGCAAGACTTCCGCATGCCGCAACACGTACGGGTCATGTTGACGGATTCAGTATCGATGACTGACTTCAAGATATACACGAGTTCGAAATAAAGGATATTTCATTGTAAAGTTCAGAATATCAAAACTTCAATCAAATCATTGTCTCGTTTTCAGGACTTCAAAATTTTATTTTTTTTAAATGTAAAAGAAATTTTGTGGGATCTTTTTTTCAAATTAGCCTCTTACGTTCAGGATTTCGAAATATAGGACAATTTGTTGCACAAAACGTGTATGGATTTTTCTCGCAAAGTCCCTCAATAAACGTATTGCATCTGTCATGTATACAAAAGTACAGCCGAACCCCAACGAAGCGTGAAGGAATATTGCTGAGTGCGGTGTTAAACAACAAACCAACGAAGCGTGAATGCCCTCAATGAACACAGTAGTACAACAGCTATTTCCTACCTGTGAAACACTGCCCTACCCACACATGGGTGATTTCCGGGACAAACCTGTCACGCTTATTTCAATGGTTCAATCTGGAGCATGTTATTAATAAGCAGTCAAATTTTAATGTGATAGAAAAAAAACAGCAAAGGTGTTGTCTACGTTGATGATTAAATGGTAAATATGTTTTTGTATAATTAATTCAGATGTGATATTGAAATTGTGTTGCAAGCATGACAGCACAAAAAGGTTAATATTTAGTAACGCTACGCCAACGCTATAATTATAACAACAACTGTTAATCTAAATTTCATGAATTCAAGCACTCCTATTTCAGTTATAGATAACGACAGGTAATTTCTCAGCTGACAGGCGAACTGTGTTGAAAGCTGCGCAGTAAATATGCGCAATGACAGCCGGTGATGCGAAGCGACAGTTGTCCAATCAGCAAATAGGGGTATGTCAATGCTTCAACACCAACATAAAATGAAAATTTTATCCCATTCTTGCATTATTCGTGGAGCAAGGAAGACAGGTGGATCGCTTCTGTGAAATAGGTCACCATGACTTCAAACATTACGTGGGAGGAATTTGTCAACTTAAAAAAAGGTTTAGAAAAATCAAATAATGATCTTGACAACTTAAAACAAAACCTGGATCAATTCTTTCTCATTGTCATGGGCATGATCGTATATTGTAAGTACATTTTTATTTTACCTCAATTTTATTTATTATATATTATAATATGACAGCGCCAGTCTTCATTTCAGAGATAATTTATTGAATATGGATTTATTCATGTGTTTATTTCAAAAGAAATCTGGATGATATTTTGCTAATCCACGGTGTTAAATGACCAGTCCCGAAATATTGATGTTCAAATTTATAATTTGTGATGAACTTTCCCGAAATCAACCCACTTTTTCGTGGTGTCATTTCTCCGCCCCCGATATATGATATATGACCAGTCATAATGCTGTGCATTCTATTGCACATGTGCATTAAAATGTGCGCGCCCTTGTTTCAGCACCACGCCCACGCTTTATCGTATAGTCTAAAGCTACATAGATGTATAACGTGTATATCACGAGTGGTAAAGCGATGTGGGCATGACTGTGTTTTAACCTGTCACGTGGCTAAGGGCGTCGCGTGCATCTCGTGTACACGCAGTGAGCACGCCTCACAAACTTTACCTCGTGGTGACATTGCATTCAGAATTCACATTGGGGTGAAAAGGAGTACGAATATGCTTTCATTAAGAGACATGTGAGAAGAGTAATGTGTTGTTACATTGAATGTCGGGACGGCAGAGTTTTCAACAACTGTACTGCGTGGAAGATAGTGATACGTAATGGGTTAGTGATAGTAGTGGGTTAGAGATTCTATTCAATCACAACCCACCTGTAATGAAATGGATTGTTGTGTACCGAGTTAAGAGTCCTACCACTGCATATAATCTCTTTGAAATGTTTCATAGGCATTTTTATGAAGCTAACAGATGGCAATGCAGGAAGAGGTTAATGGATAATCTTTATTATACTGTAAAGCGACGTTTCGGTTTATAATCATACAGCTCATCAAATGGGCACTGATCTAAAGCAATTCCCTGGGACTGCTGGTTGCCTTTGTTATTGCTTTCTCCCCGTGAGTACCCGGTTGATGTAACCGGATATTCTTGGCTTTATCCATTAAATATATATACAGATGACAACAAGACGGCTACAGGGTGTGAGGCTTATGTTTATTTGGTGAATAATCACGATAGACACCCTGTAATAAGAAACAATAGATAATATAGTATATGCATATTAAAACATAATATATATCATATCATCATCAAAGCAATACAATCATTTCTGTCATTACTTACAACTAAGTATTATTAGATGATATGATAGAAATGGCTTACAATACATATTAAGTAAAATGGTTACACATACCCTATGTGTGGCACAAGGGTGTGAAACGTGATACCCTTCAAATGTCACCATCCATGATATGTCCTGCAGAAGAAAGAGCAGGAATAAATACTTAGCAGAAATCTAGACTAGTTCGCGATCTGTGCTGCGCCATTCGTAAGCGCATTTGTCGCTTTTATTGATCGTCTAAAGGCGTATAGTCACACTGATCAACAAAATGAAATACAGTTTAGTCTTGAAAATAATGAAATGTAGGTATTTGCATTATAATGGTGAGGAAGTTATGATAAGTCACTTGCTTGGTATTGTGTGATTTTCGTTTACACTATTTTGACTTGCAACACAAAGTAAATATTTCACCTGAGCATGACTTATTTTTAATCGTGTGTATATTTTATATTTTGGCAGTTCCCCCCCTCTCCCCCTGGATTTTTTTTTTATATAGAAAACAGTCTTATTTGAATCATGAAAATACAGGTTGGGGACAAGTGCTACTTGTACAAATATTTGCCAGCCCTGTCAAAAAAAGTTTACGGCCTTGTGTATAGACAGCTACCTTGTTCGAGGAATGTATCCGTGAATATCCACACAAAGGAACAATATCCCACACGAATGCAGCTGTACAAATAAACTTATTCGATGTCACGTGTCTCTGTAACAATCAAATATTTTAAAATATATACATAGCTTTTCGGGATATTATAACCCGTGTTCGTTTCTTAACTGATCACTTAGATTGTTTCAGGTGTTTCACATAGGTGTTAAGTCTCAAAGATCAGCTGAGAAAGCCTACGTGACAACAATTTTCATAATGTGCACGGTTCTTTAAAAAAACAGAGTTACAGATAACAATGAACAATCAATCACCGTTTTATCGGCTAATCCTTTGAACAAAGTATGTTGTTTTACATCGGCACTTCACGCTCAGATATGGGGGTATTCCCTCTGCTTTAGTAAAGAATCAGTTTATTCTCAAAAACCACAAAAGGTGGTACAAGAGCATATTACAATAAATAATTATATATATTCAGATAGCAGACAAGATGGCAGTTAATAACAACATGTGATTACCTAGCCTTTTTAATACTAATGGATATTTTTACAAGAAATCTCGATACATTCTTTAGATCCTGTGTGTTTGTTGTTGATAAGAGTTTCACCAATTTTATAATAGTTGGCCATTTAGTATAATATGATGATAGAAATGTTTGCCTCTCTCTTTTAAAAAAATACATATGAATAAGTAGTGCAATTCATCAGTAATAGATGGGGAATTACATGGTTTACAGGCTCTATTTTCCTTTGGAATATTTTTCCATCGGCCAGTCTCATTAGGTAAGTGATGATTACAGGTTCGAAATCGTAGTAATGGAATTGATATTCGTTTTGGCAATAGAAGATATTTATCGAGAACCGGAGTATCCTTTAAATGTTTATAATATAATCCTTTAGAACTAGAATTAACGTCACTTCTCCATTTCTGAAAAAAGTGATCTTTAAGTACTAGTATTTGCTCCACTTCTGACACTAGCCACTCTGTTGTGCAAATTGACGGATTCTTAACTACATAAGAAAATCCAATAGTGTCTAATATATTCATAACACATCTAACCCAGGGATTTGTTGATGCAATAGTCCTGTTCCTCTTAAGTGACAAATATTGATATAACAGCTGTGAAAGTTTACACACCAGGTTGATATGTTAATATGTGTTAGAAAGATATCATTCGTTTACAAATTGTTATTCTTAATGGTAGCCTACCTAATTCGCCATATATCATATAAAGAGGAGTAGAACTTTTAATCCTGTGATAAGACTGAGGAATTTAAGGTGTATTCTTTCTATAATTTCTTTATTTTCAAAGCCCCAGATTTCTGAGCCATAAGTTAATATTGGTAATACCATCGTATCAAAAGCTGATAATACACAGTCCAAAGATAAATTTAAATTTCTTGATTTTTTTATCAGACAAAACACAGCTTTCGATGCACTATCACTAAGGGACTTAAGACTTGATACTAGTCTTCTATTCCCGTGAAGTACAATTCCTAAATACGTATAAGTGTCGACAATATCTAGGGTTTTATCAGAATAGTGAAATTTAAGTTTCGAATTTTTCGATGGGCCACCACCGAAAATCACAATTTTTGTTTTATTTATATTTACAATCATGTAATTTCCACTCTTCACAATATTCATTAAAAGAGTCTAAGGCTTTCTGTAAACCTTTTGGTGATTCATCAAATAATACAGCATCATCTGCATATAATAACATTATAAATTGGATCCATACAATTAAGTCTTTATCTTCATCATAGTTGAGATTAACCCCTCCACACCCAGATGAAAGCAAAAAGGTTTCCACGTCATTTTTGAAAATTGAGAATAATAGAGGGGATAAGTTTCTCCCTGTCTAACACCTGTATTACAAGGAAAGTAACCAGACATTTCATCATCACATTTAATATTTTTATACATATTTTGAACTAACTAAGAAATCTACCTTTGATGCCAATAGTCTGCATTTTCCTCCATAATCCCACCCGCCAAACAGTGTCAAAAGCTTTAGTAAAGTCTATGAAAGCGCAGTATAGTTTTTGTTTATTAGTTCTTAATATTTGCATAAGCATATAAATTACAAATATAATTGTCACAGGAACAACAAAGTTCGTGTTCTGGGCTGATGTTTTATTGATGATGAAGAGTCCTGTAATTATAACAAAATGACATGCTATATGGCTTGGTGGTCCGGCATGGTGTGTCTTGGGTCCTAACACATGCTGACCATGTAGTTGTTTTTAACTACTATATTATTGATATTCATTTCAATAATAAAACAGTCATCTACTATATTATTGATAATCATTTTAATAATTAAACAGTTATCTGGACTAATATAATTCACACAAGAATGAACCTATTTCAATTTAGATAAAAAAAAGATTAAAAGAGCATTCACGCAACCCATTCACCATACCTGTAATTATAACAAAATGACATGCATTACGGCTTGGTGGTCCGTCATGGTGTGTGCTGGGTTCCTAACACATGCAGTCTTTATAGAGGACAGTCATGTGATCTGCCTCTACATCATTTGCAGGGACTGCATGTGCCAGGGCCCAGGATGTACCTGACAGACCACAGTTAAGGTGGCCTGTTCAAGCCAATATTAGATATGGAAACAAGTTGGTGACATAATTAACATATCAGTAAAACTTAACCTGCGACATAATTTCAGCAGTTGAGAAAGATTTCCTGAATTTTGCTCGAGCAGGTGTTAGAATATTATTTTTATCTAAGAATTTAGTCAAACGGTTGTTTAAAATTCTGGTGAAAAGTTTTCCAGAACAACTAAGGATAGTGATAGGCCTATATGATTTAGGATCAAGTGGGTCACCTTTTTTCTTGTAAATCGGTTTAATTATTCCCACTAACCAAGATTCTGGAAGTATACCCTTTTCTAATATCAGGTTAAATAGTTCATATAACAAAGGTGTTAATAAATCAATAAAATCAATAAAATAATCATTTTCTATAAAATCAATACCGGATGCTTTCTTTCTCTTTAGTTCTCTTACTGCTAGCATGACTTCATCAGATGTGATATCTCAATTTAAAGTTTCACAGTCATATTGAGTATCCATAGTACATTCCTCCATTTCCGGGTCTTCTGAAGTTGTCTCATTCTGCGATTTAAAAAACTGGTAAAATACTTCAATTTCAGGACAAATATTATCATCCTTTTCATCTCTATTTGACATTTTCCAAAAATCTTT